TGGTGGGCCTCGGAGCAGTGTGTAAGTGCAGATTCCCCCCCTGAAATGCGACCTGCAGCACAAGTCTTAGGATTTCCCACGAATCACAGCCTGGTGACACTATCGTATGATTTGGGCAAAAGCGTTTGTGACGCAGTTCGATCCAGGTAGCGGCTGCTTTTCTGGGGACGACGTGTCTCCCAGCCCTGTGAAATGCTCGTGTTCTGTCTGAGAGCTTTCGTCTTCCACGCAGAACAGGTTCCCGACTCCCGGCATCCCCAGTCTCTCCCATGCTGGAAGGCTCTAATTGGACGAGCTGGTTAAAATAGCAGTGTCCCCGCACCCCTCCCCTCCCTTGAACTGTAAATATTTTCACTCTTTTCCCGATGCGGAACACCAAGTCAAATAGACGTGTGGAGGGCTGCCGTGGTGTCCGTGTGCTGTGCTGTCACCCCTCTGACCTTTGACCTCGTTCTCTCCCCCTCGGCCAGATGTATGGCAGGTACACGCAGGAGCTGGGCGTGTACGCCAAAGAGGAGGCAGCACGTCTGCGGGACGAGGGGGGCCTCCGGCGCTCCGTCAGCGAGAGGAGCCGTTCTATCGAGCTGCTGGAGTACGACAAGGGCCACTGTGCTAAGTGCAGAAGTGAGTGTGGGTGGGGCCTCGCTCTGGGGGTGGGGCCTCGCTCTGGGGGTGGGGCGAGTGGACCCTGGTAACCCGGCACGTCTGCTTGTCACTGTGGCCTCTTTCCCTACATCTTCATTCTTCCTCCCTCCTTGCCCCTATGGCCCCCATCTCTCTCTTATCCCCTATGGCCTCCCCCCCCCCTTGGGTATTAAGGCCTCTTCCTGGTCTGGCAGCTAAGTTAGGCTGCAACCTGCAGAGTTGACCACCAATGTTGTAGAGAACGAGCATGATATTCTACCTCCCATCCTGTAGGGGGCGCTGCTGCTCCTACCTTAGTGCCATTAGTTGTCAGTTTTCCTTTGATTTAACTGGTGATTGAGTGACTCAAAAAATGCAACTTGAGGATGTATCTGTGAATCTGAACATTTTTACCTAATAATAGTGTTAATTGATGCTTACCTGTTCAAGAGAATGAACAATAAAAAAGATTACTTTAACATTTGGTGGTCTGAAGGAACTTCAAAGTCATTCTGAATATTTTCAGAACATGAATCCAGGAACGAGAGAACATTTAACAGTGGGTGCAATAGTTTGTTTTCAAAGTCATGAATTTTTGCAGAAAGGTTAGTATCCGTGACATTAATACATGGGAACAGTAAACTGAAGTAAGGGGACAGTAAACGTGTGGCCTGTGTTTTCCGGCTGACTGCTCAGTGGTCCGTTTGATCCGTAAGGATCCCGCAAAGCCAGGGTCTGGTCTCTGCGCCCTCAGGCTTGCTGCTCACCTGCCCATTTCTTCCCTATTACGGTTCATCCCACATATGGCTCATTTCAAAGCTTTCTCTACATGTCCTTGGTTTTGATTGCCGTTTCAGTATGGATTGAGTGCCCTCTAGTGGCCGTCTCTTTTCTTGCGCCTCTTCCGCCCACACTCTGCGGACCTGTCTCTCCCTGCCGCTGCTCCATAAGCCCGCTGTCACGTCTGCTAAATCCGTGTCCTCCTCCTCACATGAGCTGGCCACAGCTAGCGGGGGGGCCATGTGACCGCGGAGATGCAGGGCCCCACTGTTGGCGCTCTGTGGGCTGACGGCAGGACTCACAGCATCAGGACGAGATGAAGGCGAAGCCGCTGGGGGGGGCTGCCCGTGAGTCTGATAGGAGGTGGCGGAGCTGGACGCGCTGCCTGCCCCTTATTGGGAGGGGGGGGGGAGTTGACTTGATGCTAAATTTGAAGCTTCTCTTGGCTGCTGCGGCTCTGAGTCATTCTGCTGTTTATGGCTTTGCCTCAAAAGAAGCGCCATTGTACATGGAAACCAGAGCTGCTCAAAGGGGATGATTTGATTGAGTCCGACATGCTGGGAACTCGTTGACGTCTGACCTGCAGCGGTTCTGGGGGATTCAGTCAACCTGGTTACTTGACCACTTTTCTCCTCTGCAGTATTGCGAGCTGACCAGCAGGGGGAGCAGTGTTCCTCGAGAAAAGAGGGGAGAACGGCTAAGGGGGCGGCCTGCACTGGCCTGGTGTGTGACTCTGCAGTCTTGGTTCTTCTCTCTGAGTGCAGTGGGTGGGGCGCAGGTGGGGATCCCCTTGCCTGTCTGCGGGGGCTGCATTCTGCCAGTGTGATCAGACGGATAACATGCCGCACTCAGATTGCATGGTACTGCCCGGAGTCTCATGACCCTTCCAGTCTCTGACTCCTGTATGACGGACTACGTCTCTGCTTTGCTGGGGCGGTGTTTGAATAACTCACGGTTTTGAGGGGGGTGGAGACCATGACATGCGTGATGTCAGAGGACGTGTCACGTGGGACCAGCCGTCGCCATGGAAACGTGCTCGCGTCCAGACATGGTGCTGCTCCGGCCCCTACGTTTGCCTCCGGCGCCTTGTGGATTGCTGGAGGAGTTGTCATGGCAACAGGTCTGTCCCGGCGAACGGGTGCCTTCGACACGGTCGCCCCGGGTGAGACGGCCGGCCTCGCTGGACAGCCATGCGGTGACGCTGACCGCTCCAGTAATACAATGTGTGTCCCTTCCTGGACAGAAGTGAGCTGGGTGTGTGGGTGGGTGGGTTTGGAAATCGCTGTACGAGCACATTGTCAGCTTACGGTCAAACATCACCGTGTGTAGGGATGCTCAGATACCTCATTCATTCTGCAAACGGGTGACCTGGCCCTCACCCCTCAAACCTGCAAGACGGCACATCCCTCCTCACACACTCCATCCGCCAACCTGAGCTCATTACCTAACCCTTCTCAGGGCTTTTCCTCCCTTCCCGGCAGGCGGCTACTGTCACCACTGTGTCCTCTGCATCGTGGTCTGTCACCTCAGCCACCCGAATCCATCTTCCTTTCAGTCTCTGTTTTGGCTTCTCTGCCCACAATCATACATATCCTCGCGCGCGCGCACACACACACACACACAGGATGCAGCCAATCACACTGCAGCAGGCAACCTTGTGTAAGTGCTGCTGCAGAACCAGCCCCTCCATGCCTGCATTAAGAACATGGTGAGAGGTGGGGGCGTGGCTTAATGATGTGGGTGGGCGTGGCCTGTGCAAACCAGCCTCGCCCCTCCATATGGGGGCATGGCCCCACTGAAAGGCATGTAAATTGCGCTAACTGTCCTTGTTTATTCTCCTCAGGGTTTCCCTACATCCTGGAGCCTCCGCCTCAGGACTTTATCTCTGGTAAAACCTTTGCTGAATAAATTAAACTCACTAAACGCTTTCCCCCTTCCTCCACCGTTAACATCTCCATCTACTGAGAAGGGTCACCCCGTCTATGGGAGCAGCTGTGGTTAAACCCCCGTTCCCCCACCCACCAGCAAGACAAACTGCGTGCACCATGCTAGCATCACATTGGCTAGGCGAGCGGCTTTTCTGTCCGTGCTGCGCTCTGATTGGCTAATGGAACATCACATGGGCTGTCCTGGTTAGGCACGGCTCTTTAAGAATTAAAGGAAAGGCTGCTCACCTTGATGTAAAACTTTTAGCTTCATCTCCCTCTGCTTTTCCTTAGCTCTCACACCTTAACTTACAGTAAACATGCCCCACCATCTGTGCACGTAGGGTAGACACACCCCCACGTCCTTGTTCCTACAGTGGATGGCCCCCATCTATGTCCAAATGAAGGATCAGCAGGTTTATAAGACCTTTCACCCTCTAACATGCCTCATCATTAATCCTGTTTAATAAAAAATAAACCTGGTAAAGAGGTATTGAGGTAATGGATGAGTGTGCCTTTGAAGAAGTGGGTGGAACTTTACTGGAGTGGGTGGGGTTTTGGGAGGTAAATAGTTCATTTGTTAACGGTGGGAGGAAGATGAAGGTGTTTGATTAGGAAGTATGGATTGCAGACTGACGGGCCGATCAGCGTGTACGCCGCTGGGGTCATGCCTTGATGTCGCTTGTCACTGGCCTGAGGCTCATCCAGTGTAGCTGCAGCCTTACAGGACGTGTGTGAGCGCCTTGCCGGACACCCCACGATCCATCCAGCTGCCATGATGTTCAGGCATCTGACGTCTTACTCTGCAGGCTGTCATAGAACTGAACAAGTGCTTAGAATTAGTTTTCATAATGTCAGGCTGGACTGAGAACCAGTCGATGTGCCACTGTGTCAGGTGTGTGAAAGTGAAGTTACTTATACCACAGAGAGCGCCTGGTGTAGCTGGTTAGCCAGTGGAGAGCGCCTGGTGTGGCTGGTTAGCCAGTGGAGAGCGCCTGGTGTGGCTGGTTAGCCAGTGGAGAGCGCCTGGTTTAGCTGGTTAGCCAGGGGAGAGCGCCTGGTGTAGCTGGTTAGCCAGTGGAGAGCGCCTGGTGTAGCTGGTTAGCCAGTGGAGAGCGCCTGGTGTAGCTGGTTAGCCAGTGGAGAGCGC